CACACACACACACACACACACACACACACACACACACACACACACACCATACTCGACTCGGGTGGGCGGGCCATGACTCCTGACAGACAATACTCTCGATTTTGAGGGTAGGTGATTGTTGTTGAAAAGACAACAACAATTTGTTGAAAAGATTGTTGTTGATGTCGGAGTTTGACGTTTAACTCGTGACACAGGAGACGCAGCCCCTGACCACAGCAGGACTGGCTGCTGAGTGTTGGGGGTCGAACCTGGAAAGTGATATCCCTCCCTGCAAGCAGGGACTGGAGGGCTGCAGGACCCGGAGGAGTGCGTAGGGCTAACCACACGGGGCCACCCGGATAGGGAGGGGGCGCCTGCGACGGTGCAAACCGGACCGGACATTCCGCAAAGCCGGAGCTCGCTCACGGCGAAGCCGCGCTGACTCACCGCACAGCCGGCCCTGGAATTGCAGGCCAAACTCCTGGATGAGATCGAAGGACTCCACCAAGAAGACGTGCTGGTCCAGGGGCGGCGAAGCCATGGCGCGCAGGGAGCCCACGTCGGCCCGCTGCACGCCGACCGCGTAGATCTCGATGCCGCGGGCGCGCGCCTGCGCCGCCACTTCGGCCACTCGGTCTTGAGGCCGCCCGTCGGTCACGATGACCAAGACCCGTGGCACTCGTTCCTCGGGAGGGCGGGCGCCCTCGGCCACGCTGAAGGCCACGTTCATGGCATACTGGATCGCCAGCCCGGTCATGGTGCCCTGCGCCAGAGGCACCACGGCGCGGATGGCGCGCTCCATGTCGTCGCGCCGCGAGAAGGCGCCCAAGGGGAACACGCTCTGCACTTGGCTAGAGTACTGGATTACGCCAACACGCGTGGCGTTCGGCCCAACGTCCAGGCTGTGGAGGAGGCCCACTAGGAACTGCCTCATGGTCTCGAACTCGTAGGGGCGCACGCTGCGGGAGCTATCAATGACCAACACCAAATCCAGCGGCCCAGCGTAGCACCTAGGACCTGCGGGGAGATGGGGGAGGTCTCTCCGGGGTCAGCTGACGCTGTTAGCTCAGAAAATGCCAGAAGAAATGCTGCTATCCGAAGGGAACATCATCCTGCATATCACTAAGCTGACAAACACGCCTTGGATACGGTGGCTCATGCATCATTTGGGGGGACCTGAGCCAGAAAATCACACAAGTTCCCTGAAATACAGTCTGGGAGCTGTTCTTAATCTGTGCTATACGTTGAGAGGTGAGCAAAGAGTTGTGCAATCTCAAATGCCTCCACGGACCAGCCAGGCGACTGTGCCTATGATATATCCGTATGTTTCCCTGGATCCCTGCTAACGTGGGTTGTCCCAGGAAGCAGATCCTTGAGTATTTTTCTTTTTTCAAGAAAATTCTCAAGTAGGGGGTTTTCACGTGAACTCTTCTGGTTTTCTCGTGGTTTCGATATGCTTCGATAAAATTCAACACCGTATGAGCAGTTCTGCATGAACGCAAAACTATGTCACATGACTGCGTGCGAGCAAACAACCAGAGGGGTGAAGTGAGGAGCCAAATCCAGCCCAGAGGGTTCCACAGCCCTCGCTCGTCCCTTTCCTGGCCCTGCTGGCTCATGGTTGCCGGAGAAACTGCTTCTCTCCCCTCCTCCCACAGGGATGGCTGGGCCCCAGCTCACCTGCAGCCTCGAGCTGGGTTTCCCAGGGCTGGAGAAAGAGCAGCAGCAGAGGCAGCGGCCAGCAAAGAAGGCCTCTCATGGTGCTTGCAGGATGAAGAAGCAAAGCTTCCCAGCCTGCAGGTAGGAAGGGCGTTAATAAAGCAACAGTTTTGACTGCACTTTTATTTCAGAGGATGCACACTTGGTTTGTGTGTGTGTGTGTTCAAAACGTCTTGCCAGGCATGGTTTACACACTCAGGAGGCAGAGGCAAGCAGATCTCTGGGCGTTTGAGGCCATTCTGGTCTGTAGAGTGAGTTCCAGGCCAGCCAGGGCTACACAGTGAGACCCTGTTCCAAAACAAAACAAAAAGTCTCTTGATAACTTTTTCATGTTGCCACATTAAGATTGCTGAAATTCGTGGGGGGAGGGCGTCTTTGTTTTTTTTAAAAAAAAAAAAAAAAAAACAGCATTTTGCAGAGCTACAGGGCACCAAGTAAATAAAGAGCAGATAAAAACACATAACGCCTTTCTAAAAAGATGTAATATGTATGCATATATTTTTACTGTGTGTATATGCACACACAGAGGGCAGTTCGCTGAAGGCCCTTCTCTCCTCCCACTGTGTAGGTCCCAAGATTAGACAGGACTGAACTCTAGCGGTCAGTCCTGGCAGCAAGCGCCTTTACCCACTGAGCCATCCTGCCGGTCCAGAAAAAAAAACCCTTTTCTAAATACCAGGTACAGTGTTAAATGCGCTCCTTCGTTGTGGCCTTAACCCTCTACGCAGTTCTGTCACTTAAAGCTGTTGTTAGCTCTGTCCTACCTATCCAGAAACAGAGGCCGAAAGAAATTAAATGCTTCTGGCCACGAAAGTGGCTGCGCCTGAGCTAGAACCCTGCCTAACTGGTGTGTGAGTCAGCTAAGGGTTACTCTCTTCTTCTGCAGACAGAAGCCATTCCCCACCTTCTCCCCCCAGCCTTTCCCCCGTCCCTCCTGAGAAGAGCAGCTCTGATGGGGTCTTGGGTCTCAGTGGTAGGCCAGTGAGTGGGGCCTTTCACAAGGAACGCTTCAGTGGCTGTTACTCGGCTGCTCTTAGGAGAGGCCGCCAGGGGGAGCCCGCTGGGCCTGGCGTCTCCTGCCGTGGGAAGCCCACATCTGCCCAGCAGGTGTTCCTGCCCAGAGCAAACAGGCAGCTGGGAGTCCCGGGACCTTGGAGATAAGGCTTGCTCGAGATATAGCCAGGGCGAGGACCAGGGGTCAGAGGTGTGAAGGGTATCGAAGACAGTGGCACTAGACGTGTCCAGAGAGCAGCATTGAGAGGGCAGCCTGGGCCTCGACGAGCGGCCATGGATCCGGTGGGGACAACAGGTGAGCCTTCCCCCTCTGGTGTAGCCTAACGGGGTCCCCTAAGAACCACGAAGGACGGACACACACACGCACACACAGAGACACCGGTGGAAATTTTGGGGCCCAATAAGGACGCCAGCTGGGCTCCAGGCGCTGATCTAAACCTAGGCCCCCACTCTTCGCCCAGAGCCTCCTGGTTTCCTTGCACCTAGCAATCACGGAGCTTTTCTTCCGTTCCCTACCCCACCCCGACACGGCAGGCTGAGCCTGCTCCATCCATTTTTTCTGTCGCTGCTTCTTGGCAGAGCGGGCCAGCGCCCCCTAACCCACCTCCGCCCCGCCCCCAGTTCCTTGAATGAGCCCATTCTGAGCAAGGCCCGGTGCGTGCCTCCAGCTCCAGACCGCCTTCCCTATCCAGGATTCTTCTCCCTTCTGGCTTTCCAGGCAGGGTGGAAGAGCAAAAATCCCTCTGGCAAGGTCTGTCGCGGTAAGGTGGCTGAGCTAGCTGACGGTGCCAGCTGCTTGCTGGTGGAGGTAGGAGGTCGGAGATGCCTTCTCTAGAGAGAGCCACAGCTGAGGCAGCGGCCGGGGGAGCATCTGCGGCCTTTGAGAGTCAGTGTCGGCTCTTGACTAAGGTCCCCCTTAATTCTGTTCTTGGCCTAAGTCAACAAGCACTTCGGCATCCCCTTACTTTCACCAGGGGAATTTTGGAAAGTCAAAATAGCCACCGTCTCAACTTCAGCTTTCCCAAACCCGCCATTCCACGGAGGAAAGTCGGTCCGGGGAGGGCAAAGGGAGTCATCACCCAAGCGCTTGCTTTGAAGTGCTGGCCCACGAGACTGACGCTGGAATCCTAGATCTAGAGTCAGTCCTTGCCTTGAAGAGAAAGTTTCTCGGATGCCCTCAGGGTAGGGAAAGTGCCTTCCCGGGGAAGAGGAGGTCTGTGAGTTCAAGAGCTGATCCGGAATGGACCCTTTGGGAAAGTGCCAGAACGTAGGGGGAGGAGATTAAGGCGGGGGGGGGGGGG